AAATAGGTTGTTGTATCTAAATTCCTTGAATATTACTTGATCATCATCTTTCTTAGATACAATCACTTCCTTCTCGGTAAACAAGCATTGAAAGCCAAGATCACACAATTGTCTAACGGATAGCAAGTTGAAACTCAAGGAATCAACATATAGCACATTTGAGATAGAATGATCATTTGATATTGCCACTTTGCCCAATCCTTTCACTTTGCCCTTTGAATTATCTCCAAATGTAATTCTTTCTTGGCCATCTACTTCTTCATCTAGTGAGGTGAACATACGAGGATCACCGGTCATATGTTGTGTGTAACCACTATCAATTACCCAATCACTTCCACCGGTCTTGTAGTTCACCTACACACAAAAGATCAAGCTTGTTTAGGGACCCAAACTTGTTGAGGGCCCTTGACTTTCTCTACAAGTGACTTTGCAACCCAAATTTTCTTAGGCCTATTCTTGTTGGGAGGTCCTAAGAACATGACTTTTATTTTACCACTAGATTCCTTTCTAAGCATGTAATGAGCATTGAAAGCAAAAGGTCTAGCATGCTTGGGCAAGGGTTGTGGTGGTGGAGTTTGGCACTCATGGGCAAAGTGACATTGTCCACACTCAAAACACCTCTTTGGCTTTGGCTTTGACTTGTGTTATTGTTGTTGAGCTTGAGCCTTCTTCTCTTGATTTGCCAAATATCTAATTCCACTTCTATCCATCTTTATGACGGTGTTCATGAGTAGCTCACTTTGAAGATGTTGACCTCTTGTGAATTTGCTCAACCCGGTCTTGAGATGTTCTTTTTCTAGCTTGAGCTTCTTGTTCTCTTCTTTGAGCTCATCATGATTTTTCTCCTTCTTGAGTCTCTTGTTATCTTCTTTGAGCTTCTCATTCTCAAGAATTAGCTCACTATCATTGTCAAGGTTCTCTATCACAATAGTGTTGGTGGTTGATAGCTTTTCAAGATCTTTCTTAAGCTTCTCATTCTCATTCTTGATCTTGACATATTCATCATAGTTATCGGACTCAACCACTTGCTTTCCTTTGCTACTAGAACCTTGCTCAATGCTCACAAAAATCAAGTCATCACATGATGTAGCTATATCAATCTTAACAACATCGTTAGTAGCATCATGTGGCTCATTGGATAAAAACTCATGAGAGATAATAAGATTATCATGATTAACCTTGAGGTTGGTATACTCTTCTTTTACCATGCTGTAGCTAGTGATGAGCTCATTATGTATCCTCTCAAGTTTATCATGTTTTTCTTTAAGCTCTTTCTGAGAAGATTTGAGCTCCTTAAGTTTGGATGACATAGCATCATTTGCTTCTCTAAGCTCAACACTAGCCTTTTTCGCTATGTCACATTTAGCTAAAAGAGAGTCATTCTTAAGTTCTAGCTTTTCATTCTTAGCTCTTGACTTTCTAATGATCTTAGTGTATTGATTTAGCAATTTAACAAGATCATCATATGAAGGTGATTCAAATTTATCATCATCACTATCACTATCATCATTGCTAGCATGTTCATCACCACTACTATCATCATCATTTGATACCTTTCATTCACCCTTGGCCATAAGGCATAGGTGTGTAGAGGATGATGGTGGTGGTGTCGGTGAAGATGATGAAGAGTTAATCACAATAGCGGCCACCTTCTCGTAGTCACTATCATCATCGGATGAGCAACTAGATGAATCAATGTCCGTGAACCAATCACCGATGATGTATGCCTTGCCATTTTTCTTCTTCTTGTAGAAATCCTTCTTCTTGCCATCCTTCTTCTTGTATGGCTTGTTTTCTTCTTCTCATCTTCATCTTCATCACTTGAGTCATCTTTCTTGCCCTTGTTCTTCTTCTTGTATTTGTCTTTCTTTGTCTTGGGGCATTGATGAGCTAGATGACCAAGTTCTCCATAATTATAGCAATCCATCTCCGAGATTGGCTTCCTTCTAGTGCTAGTGAAGAACTTCTTTTTCTTTCCATCAAACTTGATGCCGTTCTTGTTGAGCTTCTTAAGCATCTTGGCGGTTCTTCTCACCATGAGAGTAAAACTTGCATCATCAAATTCATCATCACTTGAGCTCTCATACTCAATTTTTGCTTTGCCCTTCTCTTGGCTAGCCTTGAATGCCAAGTCTTTGTCTTTCTTCTTGGTAGAGGATGAGCCATCTTATGGTGTGATGTGCATGTACATTTCATGAGCATTGATCTTTCCCAAGATTTGAGTTGGTGTAGCGGTGAAAAGATCACCTTGATGAAGCACGGTCACAATATGCCCATATTTGTCAATGGGGAGGACACTCAAGATTTTTCTTACAACATCGGATGGTTGTATTTGTGTAAGTCCAAGTCCATTGACTTCCTCTACAAGAACATTTAAGTGTGAGTACATCTCATTAGCACTCTCTTTAGGAAGCATCTCAAAAGAATTAAACTTTTTCATAACAAAATGATAGCGTTCCTCACGCTCACTCTTTGTTCCCTCATGTTACGCACAAATGTCTGACCATAGTGCATGGGTATCCTTGTGGTTCCTCACACGGTTAAACACATCTTTGCAAAGGCCTCTAAAGATAGTTCTTCTAGCCTTTGCATTTCATTTTTCGTAATTCACTTTATCGCCTTGAAGGTGCGTGGGATCCCTAGATTTTGGAAAACCTTGAGAGGCAGCTCTAAGAATTCCAACATCTAGAGCTTCTAAATACGCATCCATGCGGATTTTCCAATAAGGAAAATCATCTCCCTCAAAGATAGGAGGAGGTCCATCCCCGTGGGATATCTTTCTCTAGGCGGTTAAGCCTAAATTCGTGAGCATGAGGCTCTGATATCAATTGAAAGTATCAAGATGCCCAAGAGGGAGGGTGAATTGGGCTAATTCTAAAATTCTTTGCAATAATTAAATCCTACACTTAGCCCACTTCACCCCTTGTGCTTAGAATGTGATGCTATTGATCTACCGCACAAAAGTTTAGCACCCAAGTTCCAATCCTACTCTAGCATGGCAATTCTAAGAATTTAAGACAATAATTGAATTGCTCAAATGTAAATGCTTAAAGTAAAGAGAGAAGAAGGAACGCGGCGATGTTTTGCCGAGGTATCGGAGAGTCGTCACTCCCCACTAGTCCTCGTTGGAGCACCCGCATAAGGGTGTAGCTCCCCCTTGATCCGCGCAAGGATCAAGTGCTCTCTACGAGTTGATTCTTCGACACTCCATCGCGGTGAATCACCCACAACCGCTCATAACTTGAGTTGGGTCATCTACAAGCTCCGTCGGATGATCACCAAACTCTCGATCACCACCAAGTCGTCTAGGTGATGGCGATCACCAAGAGTAACAAGCACGAACTCTCACTTGACCACGACAAGCCTAATGAGAAGGGTGGATGCACACTTGCTACTCTCTTTGCACTAATGAGGCCATAATCTTGGATTCTCAAATCTCAATCACCTCACTAGGCTCTTGCTCTCCTAAGCACTCTCAATGATGTTTCTTAGCTGTTGAAATGGGCAAGAGATCTTCCTTGGATGAATAGAGGAAGTATTTATACCCCCTCATTCAAAACGAACCGTTAGGAGGTGGAAACACCACACTGCGGGGTGATCGGATGCTCCGGTCAGTTCTCTCTGCCACTGAGCCGTTAAGTTGTGACCGGACTCTGACCCGCGTCCGGTCAGCACTGACCGGACGCGTCCGGTCATAAAAACTGCTCTTTGAAACCTTACTGATGTTGACCGGACTCTAGCACCCAGCGTCCGGTCACATTGTTGTTCAGCGTCCGGTCAGTAACCGGAACCTGACCAGCGTCCGGTCAGCACTGACCGGACGCGTCCGATTAGGATTCTCCCTCTCTGGAACCTCTCTGGAGTTGACCGGACTCTGGCACCCAGCGTCCGGTCACTTTTCACTCAGTGTCCGGTCGCAACCAGACGACTCTAGTTGATCAAATGAACTGACCGGACTCTACTGCCAGCGTCCGATCACACCGGAACCAGCGTCCGGTCAATATTTGACCATCCATTCACTTCCAACTCGAAATTATATGTGAATCAAGTTTTCTCCAATTGATCTAAGGGCTACTTCGGAGCTACCTAGTGCTAGATTTGATAAGTGTGCACCACACCTAACCCACTAGACTCACCTAGGTCAAGCTACTAATCCATACCCCCTTAATAGTATGGCCAAAGAAAAAATAAAGTCATAAACTACTCTACGTGTCTCTTCAACACCAAACGACACTTAAAACTAGTCCATCCTTAACCTTGTCGTCCATCCTTTGAAAACCGAAACGATTTCCATCATAGGGGCATGACAACCATGATTGCCCAATCAATTGCCATTACCATGACCTAACTTAATTGCCTCTGCAAAACACACGTTAGTCGTAGTAATCTCGTATTATCATTAATCACCGAAACCCAACTAGGGGCCTAGATGCTTTCAACTTTCATGCGCATTTTGTTGAAACTTTAACCCAAGTTATGGTAGATTAAAAGCCAAACAACATATTTTCAAAGGATTTGTTTGTCATACTTCTCCCACATCACTCATCGTAGTAAAACGCAAAAAATGGATCAAACTAGCTTATTTTAACCACGCTTTTGCTTTATTTGTGTAGCTTCTCAGAGAAGCGCTTTTTCAAACAGGGCCCACATCCTGTGACATCATGAATCCAAATTTTGACTGTCATTTTTTTTTTATTAGTTGCTACAATTTCTTTTATCTATTTTAAGTTATTGTGCTTAGTGTGCTTTTTATTTAAAACTATCGTTTTATATTCTCCTAAAAAATATACAATGTTTTCTGTATACTATATGTATCTATTTCTGTATAGCATGAGGGAGATTTCCTCAGAAATCAGAATGCATTACATCTTGTCAAAGAATTGCAGTCTGCTCGCAGATGCCCTTCCCTACTCACAAACAAAAGGCAGTCGCTTTTCTCCTGTCGTCGTTTGTGTGAACTTCTAAATATCCAATCACACTAACATTTCTGCACCAAATCTTCATGGCTCAAAAGTTGGGACTTGAGCAGAGGCGCCCCATGTTGCCTGGTACAGCGCACGCTGCCCTATACTCCTGTAAGGGTCTTCCTCCCTCTTCCTCTTGAGATATGACATTATCTCCTCCACTTCTGATTTGATACGTAAATACACCTCGTTTGCCCTCTTTCTATCTCTGACAAGGTTGTTCATCCCTTTCATTTCAATCGGTTGCCCGAATAGGTAGTAGAATCGACCAGGTACTTTTGGGAGAAGAGCTGGCAAGTACATGTCTTGATTTCCATCCTCCCCTTTTACACTGTCCCTGAAATGAATAATGCATACCAATATGCCATGAATGAACAAGAGTTTAAGATCTACTATCATTTATCTGTCTTTGTTGAGGAGAAAATATCTTGAAATGTTACCTCACTCTCTCGGCTTCTTTGTTGATTGACTCTATCCACTCCCGAAGTCCGGGAATGTTCTTCTGATCGTTGTAATCCAGAACCAACTGCAGAACGAGTGTACAGAGTAAGTGACTAGTTCAATCAGCATGCGGCACAGAAACTTATTAGTTACACGTGTTCTAACGTGACATAAAGCCTGTAGCCGTCATGCATTTTCTTTAACACAATTGAATACTGAAGCAAAACAAGGTCCTGCAAAAGTACTATGAAAGCCATGCTTTCGTTTCTAGCTAATGGTGACAAAGAATTCACTTATACTTCAACAAATGGGTTAACAAATATCTACCTCTAGAACGTCGTCTTCTCCTACACACCCAAAGGGTATGATAGTAACACCAAAGCGCGCAGCCATTCTTACAAATTCTGGTTGGTCTGGCCAAAACAACTTGTATTCTTCACCCTGCAAAATTCAGTAGATAGTTACAGTAGGAAGAAGCAAGGTGGTAAAAACTTTGGGGTTCAAGTAGCATTTATTCTTCTCCTTAGTGTGACGAACTAGCTCATTTTAAGTTAGCCTTTAACACATCGGAATTGGAAATCTTTACGATAATAATGCTACAATGATTCAGTCAAGGCTACTAGAGGGTTAAATGGCCAAATTAAGCAAACCTTCCTATGCAGAGCTTCCCGAACACCGCCAGGATAAAGCAGAACAAATTCATTCCTCTCGAATAACCTGTACATATTGATTGGGGTGACCGGTAATCCACCATACATAGAAACAGTATCGATCCGAGATATCTCCTGGCGCGATGACTCAAATTTTTTTCCAAACAAAAATGGATGAGCCATGCCACGAACAATTGTCTTCTTCTCCCTCAGGAACTCTTCATACAGAGGACTCAACTCAATACCCATGAGCGCATGATAGCCCACAAACAAGACAGGACCTTTATCAGGAACACCAGCAAGCCCGCGAACAATTTTTCCATTCTTCAGGGTAGACATCATGACTGGGCTCAGTGCAAGGTGAAACAGTCTGCAGAAGACTCATTTTTTCGCTTACTTTGCCAGAGAGAGAGAGAGATGAAAGTAGAATGCAACTTCAGAATTTTGACACATACTTGTGATCCACATCAAATGTTTGCTTGAATTCACTTAAAGTAGGAGGGAGATAATCGGTTACAAAATCCCTTTGCCTTCCACGCCGATACATGTTCGCTCCTTTAATGACAGATAACAGATTGACACCATCCTCCTGTGCAAGCACAATATAATTTTGAAAAATGAAGGCTAAGAAATACACTGCTTTTGCATATATATGTATAATCAGATAGCGAGTTAGGAATAACAGAAGAACTATTAAGAGTGATGCTTTGTACCAAGAGTAGTGTATGACCATTGTCCTTGAAGTATCGAACTCTGCAGTTTTTCAGTGCCTTGAAGAGTCGATCCGCTTCTTCTCCACTAGGTAGAAGGTTGTCCTTACCACTGAATACAGGTATATTATTGATTTGTACTTTGAACCCAAACACGTGGAGACTAAAAGTAGACGGACTACAAAACTATGGAGTATAGATAGCAAATATTATAGCACGGACCTAGCAAGAAGTAGAACTTCGGCTTGCACAGCATGAAGACGAGAATTTGCATAGGCTGCTCCTGCCTTAAGAAGTTTGAGCTTCCACAAAAGAGTATCCCTTGGTATAATATCAGACAATTCCTGAGGTAAAGAAAACAGCATGAAGTCAAAAAATAATGATACAAAATGTTTCCCAAATGAATAAGAAATCCATTATGCAGCCAGATTTGTAACTGATTTCATCATGCAAGGAGAAAGGGCCCAATCTTTAAAATAATAAGTTGAAAGAATGACATATCGAATCTTTTCCTCAAGCTTGACATTTCGAAGGCGTTCGATTCAGTTTGTTGGTCTTTTCTTTTGGAAGTGCTTGCTCATCTGGGTTTTGGTTTGACTTGGCACAATCTCATTTCCAATTTGCTGCGCACGGCATCCACTCGAATCCTTGTGAACGGGCAACCCGGCGAGGAAATTAGACATCAGCGTGGTTTGAGGCAAGGGGATCCTCTGTCTCCCATGCTGTTCATTTTGGTCATGGATGTGTTAAACAGTCTTTTTAGCAAAGCAGGGGAAATGGGGCTGCTGCAACCTCTATCTCGCCATAACCCCAATCAGCGTATTTCACTCTACGCCGATAATGTAGCACTCTTCATCAAGCCTACTGAAGATGAGATGAACCTGACCATGGAAATTCTTGGTAAATTCGGAGAAGCTTCTGGGCTCCACACGAACCTACAGAAAAGCTGTGTTATCCCGATCAGATGTGAGCAGCCGGTTGCAGACAATGTCAACATGATCCTGCCTTGCACAGCAGCACAATTCCCATGCACTTGCTTGGGATTGCCAATATCAGATCGGAAGCTTCGAAAATCTGATCTTCTACCATGGATTGACAAAGTTGCAGACAAGCTGCCAGGATGGCAAGCGGCCCTCATGAACACAGCTGGACGTATCACTTGGGTACGTTTCGTCCTGTCGGCGATACCTATTTATGTGTTGATTGCTGTTAAGGCGCCGATGTGGTTCATCAAGGCCGTGAACAAACTTCGGCGTGCGTACCTATGGTCAGGTCGCAAGCAAGTAAATGGTGGCAATTGTCTAGTTTCGTGGGAAAAAGTGCAGCGGCCACTTGAGTATGATGGGCTGGGAATTCTCAACCTTGAATATATGAGCTGGGCACTGCAAATAAGGTGGCTGTGGCTTGCAAAGACAGACGAGAGACCTTGGTCAGGCCTAGAAGTGCCGGTCCACCAAAATGCAAAAGCTCTCTTTGCCACTGCTTTACAATCTCATGTTGGCAACAGAAATGACACGTATTTTTGGACAGATAGGTGGCTGTTTGGGTGTTGCATTGAGGATCTTGCCCCAAATGTTTGCGCATGGGTACCTCAGAGGTTTCGCAACCGTACAGTTGCTGCTGCACTGCATGATCAATAGTGGCCTAGCGACTTACAGGGAGGACTCTCGATGATCGGTCTCTTTGAGTACTTCCAGCTTTGGGACATTATTCAGGATTCCATGCTCTCTCCAAACGAAGACTCTCATAGTTGGAGGTTTGAAACTTCAGGCGTCTTCACAACAAAATCAGCGTGCCAGGTCTTCTTCCATGGATCGATCAACTTTGAGCCTTGGCGCCGAATCTGGAAAACTTGGGCACCACCCAAGTGCAAAGTTTTCCTGTGGCTGGCTGTACGGGATAGATGTTGGACAGCGGATCATTTGGCGAAACGGAACTTGCCCCATCCCAACCAATGCCCACTTTGTGATCAAGCGGACGAAACCATCCAACACCTGCTGATTTCTTGTGTCTTTGTACGCGAATTTTGGTTCCAGGTCCTGTCACCACTTGGTCTCCAACATGGCGTGCCAAGCTTAAACGAGCAGAATTTTGCAGAATGGTGGAGAAAGGTAAGTAAGCACACCCCAAAAGACAAGAGGAAAGGATTCAATTCACTTGTGGTCATGTGTGCATGGTTGATTTGGAAGCACAGGAATGCCTGCGTCTTTGAGGGTGCCAGTCCCAACATGAATGACCTGTTGCGTGCCTTTGGTGATGAGCACCACTTGTGTTGTCTTGCGGGTGCACGGAAGCTTGATGCCTTAGGTCCAGCTCTAGCGACAGGGTAAATAGGCGGTTAGAGTGTTGGTCAGGTCTCACCCACAGTGTGTGTTTTTATTGGTTAGAAAAACTTTGTTTCAGGACCCTCCTACGGCTCGGTCCGGAGTAGGGGGGTATAATTGTACGGGACCGTTTTTTCCTCTTTTAATACAATGATACGCAGCTCTCCTGCGTATTCGAGAAAAAAAGAAAGAAAGAATGACATTTATTCAATCTTTTACAAAACATGGAGCATTTCTAAAAGCAATGTTCCTCACACTTTTTTGTGAACTGGGGCTTGAATTATAGAACTGAGTTAAAATGTTTTGCACATTTAAAAAAAATGGTTCTGCATATTGGTTGTACAAGTGATGACTGATCAGATACATGCTTGGTGCCTTGCAGGTGCTAAAAGCTTTAGAGCCATGCGCTTGATTTAGACTTCCCTGGTGCTGAGGTTTAGTTCATGGTCAGTGTCCTGATTTGGTGTGTAGTGCAATCTTGATCTAGACTAGTAGAGGGACTCGTGTCTGATTGCAATTAGACCACCTATCAATGACACGAGTCCCTCTAACTTAAGTTAAAGGAGACTCATAGTGTGCGTCTCACCGTAAATGAAGGGAGGTTTTGTACAGCTTTTTTTTGCGACTAAGAGGTTTTGTACAGCTCTTCTCTCCTTAATAGAAACATATGCAACTCCCGTGCGTGTTTAAGGAAAAGAAGAAGAAGACTGGTCCAATAATACTTATGAGCATTAGGGTTATCGTTTCAAAAGTATTGAAACTTGAAGAGTTGTATGTAAGAAAAAAAAAGTGAGATGTATAACTGGGAGGGAAAAGCGGGAACATTGGACAACATACTGCAAGCAAAGGAAGCATCGATGTGAGACTGTCAGACAATTTCTGTAGAGTTTCTGGAGGAGATAGGTTATTTTCAATGCTAACTGCAGCCATCTTCAGTGGGTCACCTGTTGAAACATATCCTCTGAAATAAGAACATATAGATACAACAACAACAACAACAAATCCTTTAAGTCCCAAACAAGTTGGGGTAGGCCTCTAACATATCCTCTGAAATAAGAACATATAGATAAGATATATTTTTTCTTTCTACATGGTTACACCTCTAATATATTTCCTACAATGAAAAATGCCTCTCTTTTGCCACTAAATAGATAACAAATATAAAATACATAAAAAATATAAATGCTATTAAATTATAAGATTGTTTGTGGAAAAGGAAAATGTTGGATAGCCCAAAAATCCAAGAGTTAATTTTGAATGTCTTCAAAGTTTCAAGTGCTTTCCCTAGTACATTCCTTGCCATATTGTGATTTATCAAAAAGTTTAAGTACTTTTAAAAATGACAACATTTTTCCTGGAATCCCCTGTACTGTCTATACTATTTGCATTGATGTGTCTTTAATTTTTTTGAATTGTTCTGAATTCTCTGCTCTTTGTTTACTTGATGAAGAAATAGAGCTGACCCAGGGGTGGCAAGAAAAGAAATGAAACTACATAATAATGCGAAAAAAGAGCCAAAAGGCATTTTGTTGTTGTAGAAGTGGAGATTATTAGAAATTAAAACAATAGCAAAAGTATTGTCAAGAAAAAGAAATTATTGTTTTAGTGCATGACAAAGGAATAATACTAAAATGAGTTGCAAAAGATAACAATTTCTCTACCAAGAAAATGTGGAGCAACAATTGAATTTAACACTAAGGCCTTGTTTGGATGCATGTGTATCCACTTCAATCCACATGTGTTGGAATGGATTGGAATGGAACATAGTTTAATTCCACTCCAATCCACTTCAACACATGTGGATTAAGATGAATACATGTGCATCCAAACAAGGCCTAAATATATTTAAGAAGAAATTATGCATGAACATTTAAGACTAACTTTTCTTATAGGGGAAAAAGGGTGAAAAGAAGACCACGATAAAGATGACCTGGATTCTTGAGTGTTTCATAGTTTCAAAGAAGAGCTAAGAGGCGTTGTACCCATGATAAAGCTGAGAAGATAAGGCACTGTAACATGAAACTCGCTTGGCATTGATTCCAGTAGAGGCAATACTGGCTGCAATGGAGTCTTTGCAAATGATGTAGCTGGTAAATGATAACAGGTTAGTTGGCAACAATATCGGGGGAAACGAGTATATGAATAGAATCTATTCGGATCAAATCACAAACCAAAAATGATCACCTGCCTGGATTTACTAGTATGAGAACCAAATCAATTTGTGGATTACGAGCCGCCACTGCCACTGCCAAGGACCCTCCAAATGAATCTCCGACTAGATATATCGGTCTATCGGGTGATAAACCATGCTCATGCTTGATCGATTTTTCAACAGTTTGTATTAACCCTGTATGAATTTATAGTCACGTGTATTAGAAAATGGAGGCTTTTGGATTACTCATCCGTCGTCTCCTGAACAACTACACACAGTTCTATTATTCATACTCATAGTTTTGCAAATCTCTACAGTCACATTTGGATGGTACAAAAATATTATTTTTTTGAAAGAAAAGGCAGGAGCTCTGCCGCTCAATTAAGTATAGAAATGGTACAGAAATATTAATAAGATATAGTTAAATGTATCTAGAACAGGCATGTCAAACTATTGGAATATAAGTGAATTGTTCACCTCTTCCCATCAGCTTAAACTTTTGGGTTAAACTGATCGGTGCAAGCAACTTAATATGATATTAAAGCCAGAGGTCGTCTCCACAAACTAATGCAGCAAGCAACATCATACCTTCAAATGGTGTACGATCATTGACTGGTATATGCAAACACCGAACCTCGAATACTCTGCAGAATTAACAAAGGAGGCAAGAGTTAAAAGGGTATGGGTAACTCAGAAAGGTCTATGAGTGACCAAAGAAGCAAGATGGCTGCTAAAGAAGATGGAAACGATAACAGGTATCGTCAAAGTTAGTTGGACTTGACGACATCCACTATGTGCCAGAATAATAATATTTACAGTTTGAATAAATTGTAATCGAGTAAAACACTACATAATTTGTTGTACTGATTATGTAGGGGCTCCTAGTAGATGATGTAACGCAAGAGTGAAGACAAAACAAGAAGCAAAAAGAGGCAGACCACTTTTGTCACATGGGTGGCTTTAGCATTATTAGAAAAAAAAAGGTGCAAAAATAGAAGGCATCAACACCTAGTGGACTAGTTAGTTAGTCATCTTGTTCTTTTTCATAGGTCTGTTGACAAAGACTGCAGGGAGCTGGACTAATTAGAAAGAAGGCAGTCTTTTGTGCTCGACTAGGAATAAAATTGGACACTCTTCTACCAGTGAGTAGGTGACAGGGCCCAACCAATACTAGCAGAAGCTTGTATACCACATGTCGAAACAGAAGCAAAGAAAAGCTTTCGTTAATGGTTCAGTAATTTCATTGAAGTTGGCAGGAAGCAAAAGTGAAAAAGTTTTCTTTAAAGAAAAGGGAAATTTATTTATAAGGTTTGCAGAGCAAGGTGACATTATTGTGAATAAGTTTGCTCCAAACTGCCTAATCCTATTATTAGCCAAAAATGGGAATAAAAATCTTAATTAATACTAAAAGAAAGGAGAAGAAAAAAAGACTCACTTGCCCAAAGACTTGTGGTGCAGGATGAGTCCCGTGCCGACGCCATCCATTCCTGCAGTGGCCAATAGTGTGTTGTCAATTCGCTGTTGAGCATTAGCACAGAAACATATGGGAAACCAGAATGATTGATTTCTCCATTTGGCCAGCTACGTTCTTCTGGGACAAGCGTAGGACGGTAGGAGTGATAGATTTGGCCGCACGCACCTGGCAAGAAGAGCAGCAGCGGCGTGTCGTCCACCGCCGGGCGGCCGCACTCGACGGGGGAGAACCAGCGCGGCGGCCCGCCGTCGTCGTCCCTGCACAGCAACTTGGCCGCCGCGAAGTAGTCCTTGACGGTCACCGAGCCGAAGCCGTCGTCGTAGAGGACCTCCAGCCGCCCCCTCTCCTGCTCCTCCTCCTTCATGACAAGGCCCTCGTTATCCTCCTGCACCTTCTCCTTGCTCTCCACCGCGGCCCCTGCCGCTGCCGACCCATTCACTGTCACCGTCACGGCCGCCGACGACGCCTCGAGGGAGCTCGCGCGGAGAGCGAACCGCGCCTGGTGTCGGGCACTACGGCGTCCCGCGCCGACAGCGACCGGGGGACGGTGGAGCGCCGCGACGGGCATGGCTGAGGCTGGGCGGAAAGACGGAAGAAGGCGCTGCTGGGTTCGAGGAGAAACAGAGGATGAAGCAGGGGAAGGGAGTGATGAAGCGGATGGGGCGGGCAGGGCACTGGTTCTCGGCTGGCGGTGAACGTGAATGATTGGGGTTGGCCGAGGGGCACGTAGGTTGCCAAGCGTGACAGACGAGAGGGGGATAGAGAGCCATGCCTTAACTTTTTTTTATAATATAGTGCTAGTATTATTTGTATATGTATATGTATATATAAGGAATGGCTTTTCTGTTGTTTTATAGATGCCACGTGTATGTCGCGTAGCCAGTGTTTTTTAATTTTGGAGGAGATTTAAATCATGGCAAGGATGGAAATAAATTTGGTTTATGACATCAAAATGAGCCTGAGTGATCTATACATAGGCGATCGTAGCATGCTAAAGTTTAGCAAAATAGACAAAATGTGTAATGCCCTAAAAATTGTTGCACGGCTAGCTTAGACACAAACTAAATTAAAGTGTATCTCAAGCTTGCATGTATGCTTCCTAAATCCATCTTCTCCGTCTAATAATAGTTCGAGCCGTGACGCATTAACTAGCTTTGTCGCATCAAAACATGCTCTATACTCAAATTTGAAAGGTTGTCCTGACTTTTTGTAGCATAGTTAATAATATAGCTCATTGCTAGCCACATACATATTTACAGTCTATCTGTCTGCTTACTAATATAGTAGTTTACCATTAAAATATACTTTATTATAATTATATATGGTCCATTTTCTTCTCTGGTAAGGTTTCTTGAAGCTCATGAATGAGCTGGTTGTAAACTAACAACCCACTTTTCTTCTCTCTCCTGCTCTCTCTTGTCCACCTAGTATAAAGTTAATTTACAGCTCTTTATTATACTCACTCTAATAATACAGTATATTGTTGGTTGTATGTATATTTATAGTCTAGCTATATAGTAGTTGGCTACTAGAAGATATTTCTTCTTCCACAAAGTTTTTTTTAACTCGTACATCAACTGGATATAAACTTACAGATCACGCTTCCCCCTCTCTATCTCCACTCAACATAAAACCCACTTACAACCTTTTGTTATATACTTGCTATGAGATCACAAACAACCATCCCTTCTCTTTAAGACATGGGATCTATAGCAATTTTGAACAACTTGTTTAAGTTATATATGGCCCCCAAGCCACAACAAAAATGATAATTATAAGATGAAAGATGTTAGCATTTAAACTAAAAAATTCTAGAAGATACAAACAATGCAATATGCAAATGATAAATTACACAAAGACAACAACAACAATAACTAAAGGGTTACGGTTCGAGATTTTCATAATAGAACTAATTATTCCGGTTATAGTGCCAACTATTTAGGGCAGTCCCAATACAACCGTAGACGGCACCCTCTAATATATGAAAGATGCCTCTTCTAAGACTGCAACTCTATCACATTGTGCAATTTTTTTTGCCTTCGGCAACAAACGGGTACATCGACCTTGACTATTATATGATCGGCTACGGCGACATCAACAACTATGCATTAACTCCAATCAAAGCGTATGTGTCATCACTATCGTTTATAACACCCGCTACGACTATAGAAGGGAATAGAGGAGAAAAGGGACGACACCGGAAGCGGGTAGAGGCATCGACCTAGGTGACGGACCGTCCACTAGAGACATAGTTGATGATTGAGAAGCGGAGAAGACGATGGAAGCAGGTTTTAAAGATCAGGAATCATGTATTCCTATGGTGCACTTTCTTCAGCACATTTCTTATACTGTAGGTGTTTGAAATTGAAGTTATACTTAGGCGATGGGCTAAGATTTGGGATGGGGGTTTGCCTTGATTAAGACAAATATGCCACCTTAGAAGAAGGGATCTGGGGAGGTAGGCCGGCCTAGCAGATGTAGGCAGCGACGGAGCCAGCGGTGGGGCTGGGGGGGGCTCTAGCCCCCCCTACCAATCCTAGGCACGTGGAGCCCCCCTAAGCCCTTTCTTAAATTTTTATGTATATATGTATTAGGTATGAGGGGCTAAGATTAAGAGAAGATAAAAAAACCTCTATTCTTTTGTTCAGCCCCTCCTAAATTTTTTTTCTGGCTTCGTCCCTGGATGTAGGGGCAGAGTAGCGAGGCGGTGAGGGCATTGCTGGCTACAAGTGGAGGAGAAGGACGATTGAGCCGGGGAAGGGTGTGTGGGATCGGAGGCATGACTCATGAGGACGGTGGGCCGGTGACGCTGAGTTAGCACGGCGGGTTAGCAAGGCTGGAAGCAGGCGGTGGCGAGAGTCACAGTCACGCATGGTGGAAGAAGACTAAGGCCTTGGTTTCTACGGGCGCTCCTAAAATTCCTATCACATTGAATGTTTAGACACATTCATAAAGTATTAAATATAGACTAATTACGAAACTAATTACACAACTTGTGACTAATTTACGAGACGAATCTTTTAAGCCTAATTAGTCCCTGATTTGACAACGTGATGCTACAGTAATCCTGTGCTAATGACAGATTAATTAGGCTTAAAAAATCGTCTCACAAATTAACCTCCATCTATATAATTAGTTTTATAATTAATCTATATTTAACCACACAGCCACTCATGCGAGGTTGCAGATGACTCGGAAGCCGCAAAATAAAGAAGGGATGGTCTGAAAAAATGATGCCTGACGACAGCTAGCGGTAGGTGTGGACTGTGGTGTGATTGGTGTCACATGCTGTACCAGTACTAGTGTATCGCTCACCCGGCCCGGTGATTGAACGTGATCTTTCCACGGTGAGGGAGGGTTCTCCTCGCCTGCTCATCGCGCCTCCTGTCCTGTGGTCGCCACTGCTGACGTATACAGCAAGTCAGTCACGGTCGTTGTAAAAAAAAAAAAGAGTCGCTCACGGTCCTGGTCGCGGACGTTCCTGTTGTAAAAGACTTTATGACAGAGGAATCTTAATCCTAATCTATTTGTACGTAGGCTTTTATCAAACTTTTAGATTTTGATAGGGCTATATATACGTAGGAGCTCTAGGTTGTAATCACCAATATTTAAATAAATAAAGAATAGTCTCCCTATTTTGTATCTATTTGTTCTCTACTTTTACCTACTATATTGATAATAAGAAACGGAGAGGCGAATGTTCTGACCGCTGACAACATGTTTTATAACAGTTTCGAGTAGTAAGCGTGTAACCGTGGTGCACTAGTGAACGGACAAGCAGTGCTCTTTTGTGGGCGGTACATGTGAGCATGTGGCGCCGGGCGCAACCGGACAAACGTGAGCGAGCTGCTGGTGCCAAACCAAATCGATATCACCATCAATAAAATACAGTAGAGAAGTTCCTTTCTTTTCTTTTTGGTTGGTGCGGTCATAACGTACTACGGCAGCACCAAATTCTTTTACTACTAGCAGAAAAAAAAGATATGATTCTCACATCGCCAAAAAAGTAGTCATCCTTGTCGTCCCGTGTGGTACTCCGTTATTCTGTGGTGGATGCTGGCTGATTCGCGGTCGGATCGGATGGCGCGCCGCGGCTGTTGCGTGTGGACCGGTTTCGGCGTCCGCTTTTGCTGAGAGAGATGCCACATTTCATATAGATCGACCTCACATAGTTATTCGAGATAATTATATGAGGCCTATAAGAAATGTAGCATCTCCGGTAAGGATTGTCCGTCGACTCTGTCCATTCTTTTTTTTAATCGAGATTCCGTCCATTCTAGGGCTCTAGTTTGCGTGCCCTTAAATCTGGCTTGATCCGTTTATTTTTTCATCCGTAACAGTGTATTTTTCTCTCACAAATTTCTCCAGCATTCCTCCAAATCATCCAGATTCCTCCAGAATTCAGATAAGCGAACATGCCTTAAGAGTGCTCGAGACGTTAGATATTTATTAAGAGAATCGTAGCTCAAGATGACTCTGCGCTAGCATCCAGCATCCAATTGATATACGAAGAATTGTATGTGCATTCACGTATACAAGCGCACGTACATTTAGACGAATGAAGAGCATATGGCCGGTTACAGAAGCTATCGTGCCAGAAACGCCGCGGTCTTAAGTTCTCAACTTTTGAGGACCCTGCCTAGCGCGATTTTTATTTTTATTTTTAACACTTATTAGAAACTATTTTCAGACATGACACTATTTATTTTTTCTTCTTCAAAGCTAATATTTTTGGTCGTGCCTATTCGCATGGTGCAGTGAAATCACGTTGCTGCGCTATGCATGGAGCCGCGGTAGGAGCGATGACATGGCAGTGACCAGGGCCGCTGAACGCTGACGTGGCCGGGGCTACCGCGCCGCGGATCTGGGCACGGCACTGACGCGCCATGGAGGCTGACACGGCAGTGCTCTCGCCGGCCATAGCACTTCACGTGACCGACCGCTCTCTGCAGCGCGCTTTCCCTGTTTTGTTCAGCCACACACGCGTGTGTCAGGCAACAAAGGGCACCCAAGATTCGCCAATGCACCGGTCGGGTCGGTAACGCAGTAACGTCGGCCTTCGCCCTGCCCTACCGGCCGGCCCAGTAAACAACACTTTTTCCCCCTCTTCTCTCTCCGGGCCACGCCTCATGGAGGCGCGTGCATTGCATGTGTTTGTAACACCTAGGGTGTTTTAAATACTAAAATCTGCCATGTCATCATATGCATAGCACATAATTCATGTGTTAGTGAAAATTTTGATATGCATACACTAAAACAAGTTTACCTGTATGTTATATGTGTTGATTTGTATGGTTTGAGGATTGGATTTCCGAAAACCCTAATTTCAGCATTTAAGTTTATCCTGGAAAACCCCATTTCAAAATCTAAGCACATTTTGCGGTCGAGCCTAAAAGCAAAAGTGTAGAGCTTGTCATGATGTATAAAATTGGTTTTTGGAGTTTTCAAAGTTGTTTTATAAAATTTGAAGTAATTTGAAAAGACGTAAATTCTCAAAGTGTCCCTTTTGAATTCAAACTTTCAATTCAAAATGTAGACCGAATTTGAGTATGGTTATAAAAGCAAAGT